GGTCTGCGTGCGAGGAAGATAGCTTACTTGAAATATTATCGATTGACGTCAGCAACTGCTCCCATCTATTTTCATCACTTGTAGACATTGTTATTTTGAAAGTTCTAACACAGAAAAATACACTCTCACAGAATATGCACTATTAATATACTGCAGTTCACAAACTTGCTTGAAATTATAATAGTTTTATCCGAACATTGACATATCACATATATATATACACAAGATCATTAATAAATTAAGGCTGGCTTTATACCTACGCTAACGTTAACTGATTTCCAAAACTATAGTTACGCGAAGTGTAAATACACTTCATCATTACACTAGCGTAGTAAAAAACATGTGTGAAAAGTGAACGCAAAATAGTAAGGTACTGCTCGCTTTTCTTTTTAAAAAAACCTTGGCGAGAGGGGGTGGATATGGCCGAAAGTATTTTGCGAAATTCGTTGGATCCTGAATAATGGTGAATTTTTTTTTACGATAAGTGAAAAGAGAAACTTACCCCACGGGTGTCACTTTTCGAAACTTTTTTCATTTCGCGTAGGTTTAGTTTTGGGAGATCGGTTTACGTTAATTTTTCATTTCGCTGTCACTTCGCGTAGATTTAGTTTTGAAATATCAGCTTACATTAGCGTAGAAATAGGCACTTCGATAAATTAATCACTCACCGCACAGAAACATATAACAGTTTAATAGTTTAAATATATCAAAACTTCTTATATGCAATAGAACTGAACATATAGGATTAGGATAGGATTTTTCAAAATATGCGAGTTGTGCGTTCAATTGCGTTTAAGGTAGGAAAAAAATCATGTATGTGGAATCTATACAGAAAATAAAAAGTAATACTAAGTTAAACTTAATAAATCCAATAAATATATTTTATTTTTATTATTTTTTTTAATTTAATGATGGAATCCAATATTGGATCGAGGTTGAATTTCAGTATCGGACCAATGTCGGATTCCAATATTGTAACGATGTAGGAAAACAGTATCGGTCCGATCCTACATTCCAACATCCTTTCGATACCGAAACAGTAGCGAATATCAGTATCGATACGACATTGGTATGTCGAAATCCGACATCGGCCCGATACTGATCCGGTATCAGAACCCTCCTTGGGTTCATATATAAGTGTGAATTAAGAAAATATTAAAAATGTCCAAAGATCATGCGTTTACGCATCCACTGTATAAAGTATTAAAGGAATTTTAAGTGTTTGAAAGAGGAAACGATTATTACCCACTTTTAATGTGTCACTTTTACTTAAAAAAATGATTTACCATATTAAAGATGTCAATATTTCTTCCCCCACAGCACCGAAAATTTCCTGAAAATTTCCTAAAGATTTATTTGCAAACTTCGGAAACTTTAATTGCAAAGTTTAGAGAAAATTGTATAAAGATTTAAATGTCCAACATGAATAAATGTTTGGCGTAAAACTTGACGGAAGATTTAAATTAAATTTTCCAGAAATTTTCGACGCGAAAAATGAGTGAAGATTTAAATTAAAGTTTCGTGAAATGTTTGGCGTAAAAGTTGACTAAAAATTTAAATTAAATATTTATTAAAAATTTATACCGAAAGTTGAGTGAAAATGTAATTTAAATATTCAGTCAATTTTTGTGACGAACATTTCCTGAAAATTTAAATTAAATTTTCAGAAAAGGTTGGACGAAAATATTTGTAAAAAATACAAAAATAATATTTAAGAAGTATTAATATTATTATTAATATTAATAATAATAATAATAGATAGATAGATAGATAGATAGATAGATAGATAGATCTTTATTATTATTATTATTATTATTATCAATAAAAAAAATTTACTATCTGGGATTAAAAATAAAATAAATAATATACAAACATTGTTGCTCTGCTTTGATTCACATTGTATCAAGCACTGCATGCTTGATGAGCAAGAACTTTTGAAAACAAATTATGGGGTGCTGGGGATTGAACCTACATTCGCCGCGCGCTAGCTAAAGACCCTAATTTTTTTTTTTTTTTTTTTCAATTTATTTTTGAATAACAACCATATATACATATACTGAGATATAACGAGGAATAAATTGATGAAACGTTTTAACACACTAATAAGTTACATATATTATCGTTACGGCTCATGTAAGAGCAACTCGTCGACACCCTTCTTTTTATTTCTATTCACATTACGTAATTTTTTATCTTTACTTATAAGCTTTATCACGTTGTTCACTTAAACCAGCCAAAAAAGTATTTAAAAAAAGCTGTTGTCTTCAAAAAAATGTCAAAGAGCCTAGGCTAAACATTCAGATACGCTTACATAAGATGAGCAATATACATTTAACAATGGGATGAAGGATAATTATATTGTATTTGTATACACACGCATGCTTACACGTAATGTTTACATACACATACGCACACATATACATTTTCTAAGTTAGCCACTTATATTTTGTGGATTTTGTTCTGTAACTTTTTTTCGTGTCTATATCTGGTAAACTCGTTGAGTAGCGAAGAGCGATATTGGGATTATTTAATAGATCTATTGAATTAAATTTAATTATTCTGTCTCTGGCGTGTCTGTAAATGTGATAGAGTATTGGGACGTTATTTTCATTCTGTATAAATTTGTGTTTGTCGAGAATAGTGAATGTTTCTGGGGACAAATATCCCATTTTTATTAATTTGCTTATGGTTAATTCCCCCTTTTCAAATATGGAAGGAATTAATGGGTTTGTGCTATTGTCAATGGCCTTTGCGATGTGATCTCGCACTAGGCCAATGACAAACACATCAATCCTTGGGATATTTGCCAAATTATATAATTTTACATTTGAGAGATGTCTTTCGTATCCTGTCTCAGGATCTCTATATTTCCCCAGGCAGCTTCTCAGACAATCTCTCTCAAATATTATTCGTATTCCTTACTGTTTATCTTATCCCCTAATGAAACAAACATTCTTCTATTTTTTAACATATTCCATATTAATTTTATGAGATACGGTGAAAACCCTTTTTTAATTAAACGGAATATCAACCCCTTGATCCAGACTGAATCGAATGCCTTTTCTAGGTCCACGAGGCACGCCGCCACGAACTCCCCCCCGCTAAGAGCTTCGGCTACATCCGAGGAAAACTTCGAAGCCGCGTGTAACGTGGAATTTTTCTCTCTAAATCCGAATTGCTCGTATGGTATAATTCTATTTTTGTTGACATATTTTACTATTGATTTATTAATAAATATTTCATATAGTTTGCCTATGTTTGGCAATAAACTGATTGGACGATAGCTGCTTACTGACGTAGGATCTTTGTTTTTTTTTAAAATTGGTGTGATTTTAGCTAGTTTCCAACTGTTAGGGAAATGTCCGTTATTAATCAAATTGTTGAATAGTATCAATAGCAAAGAAACGATATTTGTAGGCAATTTTTTAATCTTTAGCTAGCGCGCGGCGAATGTTCACCCACATAAGAACTCACAAGAGATCCTGGATGGGATCCCATATGTGTTCTCACATAGGAATTTTCAACAGGGTTACATGTAAGATTTGTAATATAACGCTGTAATATTACAGTAATCTTACAGTGATCTTAAAATGTCCGCCTCAAGGTAATATTACCGGTAATGTTACTGTAATATTACGTGCTAATATTAAGGTAATATTACAAGAGAATATTACAGTAATATTATGGGAACATTTCTTTACGAAAAAAATCTACCCATCCAGGGAATCGAACCCCGAACTCAAAGCACACGAGTCCAGAGTTTTACCAACAAGCCAAATTGACTTATAATATATTTACGTTTTTTATGCTTTATGAATAACTCAAATCAGTCTGTAATATTACCGTTAATATTACTGTAATATTACCGTTAATATTACAGTAATATTCCCGGTAATATTACCTTGAGGCGGACATTTTAAGATCACTGTAAGATTACTGTAATATTACAGCGTTATATTACGAATCTCACGTGTAATATTACCTTGATATTGAGGATATATTACGTGCTTCTTGGGTTGTTTGATAAACCAAACATTTTTATTGACCTAACAAAAAAAATTTGGTTAAGCTAACCAAATATTTTTGTTATGCTAACAAAAAAACTCAACCAAATTTTTTGGTTGACTCAAACAAATAGTTTGGTTGCTTAAATACCAACAAAATTTTTTGTAGGCCCAACCAAATTTTGGTTGCTCTGACTAAACTTTTTTCTCAGAGTACGATTGAAAATTTCTAAAGCTGAGTCCAGAATGAGCACGTTACGTAACGTTATAACGTTAACGTGTGATGTCACCCATTTGAAATAGCATTGTGGTGTCAGCACGTTAACGTTATAACGTTCTGGACTCAGCTTAAATGTGTCAAATTGTGATACGACACAACACTTTCTTAAAATTCAACAGTATTTCGTGTCCGAGACAGTCCCTGGTTTCAACAGTTTAACATTTATCCCCAGTTTCTCCTATGTACTATGTAATTAGTCAATAATATAGCAATCGATAGTCAATTTTTATCCCGTACACGCTCACACATATTATTTTTTTAATTGCTCGAAAACGTGAGAACATTTCTTATTGTTGTTTAGGATCAGTGGAAAGCTTAGATTAATAAAACCTTCTGCTCTTACAGCATCAGTGATTTAACCCATGAATTTGGACAGAACGAATCCATTTCCAATCGTCACCACGTGGAGGTACCTACCCTTGCCGCTGAAGGATTAATTGAATCAGCCTATTTTAAATTTGGAAAACTGACACTAGATTCGTAATCAGTGACTCCAAAAACCCCCGACTACCAGGATTCAAGCGAATCGAATCAATTTTAAAATTTTCGTGATTTAGTATCCGTCACATTGGTACATCATTTTGAATTTGAAAAATCTAGTCTAGTGTATATGAAATTTAAACGGGGAATTATTCTTTGTGATCGGAAATTTTTTTTTAATTACATCCTTGCTGTTAGTAATTTATTTATAATAACTTATTCTTCTTGCTTTTCAGACAAAATCACGAGTAAAAGAAGTTTACGCGCAAACATGTTTGCTTCTTGGCCAGCAGGGCATGCGAGACTGCGAACTTTTTGGACTAGCAATTCTTTCTGGTAAGTTATAAATAATTCAAAACTGAATAAATATACTATTGACGTATACGTGAAAAGATTCTACGAAAACGCTATATAGAAGTTCTATAGTCGTTCTATAGAAGATTCCATAAGAATACCCAATGGGAAAAATACCATTGGCGTATTAATGGCCCAATAATGGGAGCCAGGGATGCCAATATAATTTCAATAATGGCACCCAATAATGGACCATTAGTGGTAAAGTCATGGGCTGTCCATGCCGATGCGAATGATTGGCAACCATCATTGGCAAATTATTGGCAACCAATAATAATTAGCCAATATTAAAAATTTTTAAATTAATTTAAAAAATCAATAATTTAAAAAAAAAATTTTATTTAATTATTTTTTAATAGTTATTATTATTATTATTATTATTATTATTATTATTATTATTATTATTATTATTATTATTATTATTATTATTATATTTTTAATGATTCAATTAAAATAAAAAAATGGTCAGTATTAGTGAAACCATTTCTTCCAAAAAAAAAGTTTATCTCACATCCTAATAAATAGGACAAGAGGTTTTGGAGCTTAATTTACAGTTTTAAAATTAAGTTCAACGTCAATATTTTAACCTCAGATCACCTGCAAGAAGTTTTGAGTATTGCCAAGCTTTTATCTTTACAATTGGTAGCAAGATAATTCAAGTTATCGCTCAATGCATAAAAACTTGAAAATCAAAGTCAAACTATTTCAGTATTTTGTCTCGCATTTCAAAGAAATCAGACTTAAAAATCATACCAAATTTTTTTCTTATTCCTTATGACTCCTATAACAGAAATTCACTTGAATTTTTGATTTTTGTCAATTTGGTTAATAATTACAAGCTGTCCACATTTACCCTGAGTTTTCAAATTTTTGGGGTAAATGGGGACAGCTTGTCATTATTAACCAAATTAACAAAAATGAAAAATTCAAGTGAATTTCTGTTATGAGAGTCATGAGGAATAGAAAAAAATTTGGTATGATTTTTAAGTCTGTTTTTTTCAAATGCGAGACAAAATACTGAAATAAAAAAAAAAAAAAATTTCAATTGGTTCAGTTATTATATATCTATTACAAATTTTTTTTCAAGTTTTTTCATCCCTTAATACAGTAATATACTTAATGAAAATTTTTTCTTAAAACTTTCTTAGAAACTATGCTGTCCCCATTTACCCCAAATTTTATGAAATTTTCTAAATCTTGGGTTAAATTGGGACTATCAATTTCATGCGTTTAAAGCTTATCTACAATTTTTTCTGCTGCATAAAATTAATCCTGGGAACGTAAGTAACAAGTTAAAAAAAATAAACCCTTAAATATTACCTTTTAAAGGAAGAAACTTATTTAATTTGTGAAAAATAGCGATTTTGTCCCCATTTACCCCAATTGACCCTAGTTAATTAATTTTTTTGGAGAGAATATTTAACAAAATAATTATTTTTTCATCGTGATATTTTTTTAGACCACAAATAATTATCATAGTGATTATTTTATTTGACCATATTTAAATTTGAAAATCTTTGTTGGAGTGTCTTGTTGCAATATATGTTATGAAAAATGTAATTTACTACAGAATGAATGTTTATTTAGCGAACACACAAATCTCAAGTGTGCCAATTAGTGATGCACGTCGCACAAGACGATCGGGAAACAACGATTACGATAAAAATGATCGTCTTTTTAAATTCTATTATCGTTCGGATCGCTATCGGCTCGACAATCTCGACAAACTGTCTATCAGAGTTCTATTCAGGTTGAAGTTTGTTGTGAAACTATTATTTGACAATTTCTGTTGGTTAGTTTTTTTAAAAAATTTAAAACGAAAATTTTCTATGTAAAACTGTTTTAAATTAATAAGAAACTTTTATATTTGTAAATAATAAATTGATCGATAAATAGAAATTTTAAATAATATTACAAAAATATAATTAACAAATAATTATTATACTGAAAGAAAAAATTATCAATAAATAGAATTTTTTTAATTAATTCGAAGGTTATCAACTCTTAATTTCAATGAATAAATTATTCAAAATAAATTATTAAATTTATTTTTCCATGTATTGTAGTGATAACTACTGTTTTATAGTTTAAATAATTAATATAGAAATACTGAGGTAATAAAAATCTCTTAATATCTCGTCATTATTGTACCTAGCTTAAAGATAAGTAAAATTTTTTTTATTTTCGAACTACACGGAAAAACTTTGTTCAAGAATCATTCTTAAATTTGTTCAGGAACTGAGGATATGAGAAAAATTCTGAAAAATTTACAGAAAAATACAAAAATCATTGAAGAAAATACTTGTATTTTTATTATGACGTTGGAAGACTTCTTGTTAATGCCGCGATCGGAATATCTCAGTCACTGGGCGTTGAAAGTTTCTTGAACTGTTTTAGAAGACACAGTACAGTAACCAAGCACTAGGCAGGGATTGGTTGCGTCAAATATGTTTCCAATGCATAATACCATAAGCTGCTAAGGTAGCTGAGAGATGTAAAGCGGAGTTTTTGGACTCTCGAGGACGTGGGATCGAGTCCTGTCAGAGTAAATTTTTTTTCTCGCAAACATAAAAATTTATTCTAAAACAAGTTCAAGACTTTCTGTAGTGAGTTTAGGAAGTTGTCTTGAATTTCTCTACAATTCTTATAGAAATACTGCTTAGAATTTTTCAAAGAAAATATAAATAAGATTTCTTAAATTATTCTCATATCCTCAGTTCCTGAACAAATTTAGGAATGATTCTTGCACAAAGTTTTTCCGTGTACAATTGTTTAGAAATATTAATAGTAACTTAATTAATATTTATTACTATAAAGTATTTTTAAAGTTTGTATATATAATTTTATAAATAATAAAATAATTAGCCATTGAGTCAATTATTTTGAAAAAACACCGTTTTATAAATATGTAACATAAATTATTATAACATTTCATTTATATAATAAAACAGTTAATAATATTACTTAAGCTCAAAAAATGAACAATAAACTTTGAAATAAAAACATAATATTAGTTTAAACGTATAATATGAATTTTTAACAAAATTGAAGTTTCAACATTTTTGTATTTGTATACGAAATCAGTTTTGAATCTTAAAATTTAAGATTTCATTGATTTTTTAATTTTATTTTTTAAGGAGCAGGTAACCCATGAATTCAGACACATCAGGTACTTTACTGAATCATCATTTAACCTATTTCGGTGTTTTCGGATTGTAAGAGACCCTCGAGAAAAAAGCCTTCCAACCGGAACTGATGTCGCTTGCACACCAAACAAATCTCTGGCCATTTTAGCCAAAGTTGGGTATAATGACTGATTTTTTTGCCACCACTTTAAGATGTCCTCATCCGCATCCGCACATGGATGTGACAAATACAGGTCAATTTCTTTGCGCAATTACAATGAGGATTGTAATTTTTTTTAGTTCGAGGTTTAGATTTCTTATTTTGAAAAAACCCTCGCAAATTTAGCGATTTTTTTCAACTTTCATCAGAATCGAGAAGTGTTGGAGAAGTACTTGGACCAGTCAAATTTGAATCTTCCTATATAATAATTGTATAATAATAAAATTTAAATTTTACAAATAAAAATATATTAATTAACTAAAAGGACCATATGATTTATTATCTATAAAACTTGACAATGAACCCCTAAAATTTTATTTCACCACCCTTCCCCTTTTTTGTATGGGGGTAAATTGCCCTAAAAATACAGCATTCTATAGATTTTTGGAAAACATGAGTATAAACAAATAAAAATTCAAAAAAAAATTATTTTTGAGTTTAAAATTTAGAATTAAGTTTTCGGAATAAAATCCCACTCGAATTTGTACTTTATGTTTTATTGGTTGTCCAGGAAATGTTTTACCAAAAAAAGGCAAATAATTTTTAATACTTTTTTAAAAAGATTAAAATTTACTGGAATATTATACCTAAGGTTTGTAATATTGATTTTTAAAAATTGACTGAAATTTGTCCAAGGAAGTTTTCTTCAATTCTTTTCCCCAATGTGTATTATCAAATGCTTGGGGTTTATGCCTAGGATCTAAGAAAAGAACTCCGCAATAAACCCAGTTGCTTTTTCGATAGTGTTTCATTAATTTCTCGTAATAAGCTTCTAATCCTAGTATAATTGCATCGTCTAACCAAGTCATTTCTTCACTAGGTTTGTTTCTCAAATCGTCCAAATATGAATTTATCTGGTTCAAAAGGAAATTAAAACCTATTATAGTAAGCGGCAAAGTGGCATATTTTTCTCCGCTTAGAACTTCGGTAAGTTCTTTAAAATAACTTAAAAATTCGAAAATATTTGATAACAATAGCCACTCGGATTCAGCAATTTTATATTTTCCCAGAATTTTGTTAATGTCACAAAGTAAATTTAACGCTCGTTGCATTTTAAGAGCAGATTCTATCATTGTAAATGTGGAATTCCACCTTGTACAAATGTCAATTCTGGGAATATACATCTTTTCCTCGATTATACTGCAACAATTTTGCAATTTATTTCGTCATTGTTCCGAAAATTTTAATTTCTTAAACAGTTTCCTTAATTTGGCACGAGGAAAATTTTCTATATTCGCATCTAAACTTTCATTTTCAGCTTCATCGGTATCGGAATTTTTTATATTTTCATTGTCAGATGTTTCCTCGCTAGGTTCTTTATTTTCTTCTCCATCGATATTTCCATCAAAATCGTTTTCATTTTCACCTTCACGTTTTCTGTCGAGTTTTAATTCACTCAAAAAATCTTGCACACCTAATTGTAACAATAAATTTATGTTATTTATTTATATATTTAATTGTTTATTTAATTTCTTATTATTTAACTATATAGTTAACATATATATGTTAACTAAATAGTTAAATAATATGAAATTAAATAAACAATTATATATGAGAGATTCTTTTTCAATCGCCCCAGCCCAAAAAGTCAATGTTCTGGGATTGGCTTCATACTTTGGTAAATTGTTGTCCTATAT